TCGCACAACTCTTCGGGTTTATTCAACCCTTGAGTATAAAAACTTGAGAGATTGTCTCACACAACTCTTCGGGTTTATTCAACCCTTGAGTATAAAAACTTGAGAGATTGTCTCACACAACTCTTCGGGTTTATTCAACCCTTGAGTATAAAAACTTGAGAAAGATTAGTAACAAACGGTTATCTGGCTCATCAAAGTCATCTCCTGTACAAAATAATATACCACATTATGAAGCTTTAAACAATTTAGGTTAGTCTGTTACAAGAGACAAACCTATGTACTGAACTTTAAATGAGTTATCTAAACTTCATAGCTTTAATTTCTACTTTATCAACCGAAAACGAAGCATAAAGTATGAAAAAAAAAACAGTTCATATTATTAACAATAGGCCTAACAGGTCTTATAATAAGTATCACTCCTTAATGACTTGTAAGAGTTGTGCACACCATAACAGTTGTTCCAACCACTGCTGTGTTTGTTGCATCCCAGCCGACCTGAAGAGCTCTGAATTGAGCTAAATGCATCATCAGGGATAGATATGGACAGATACAGTGTAGTTTAAATATTATTATTATTATACACTTTTCTAATTCTTGAAAGTCCCTAAGGCTCTAGATAAAAAAAGTAGCATTTAAAAATTTAATTGTTTGTTTTTGAATTTCGCGCAAAGCTACAAGAGGGCTATCTGCGCTAGCCGTCCCTAATTTAGCAGTGTAAGACTAGAGGGAAGGCAGCTAGTCATCACCACCCACCGCCGACTCTTGGGCTACTCTTTTACTAACGAATTGTTGGATTGACCGTCACATTATAACGCCCCCACGGCTGAAAGGGCGAGCATGTTTGGTGGTATGCGGATTCGAACCCGCGACCCTCAGATTGTGAGTCGAGCGCCTTATCCACCTGGCCATGCCGGGCCTTAAAAATTTAATAGGCCTAATACTAGTGTTTTATGGTAAATATAATTATTACATAACTTGTATAGAAAATCTCACAACAACAACAAGATGTGATTTTTTTTTACCTGGTAAACATCGAAGACCTTTTTTTACGAACACCTTGGCTAGGTGTTGTACAGTCAGGAGTATCAACTTCGGTTATTTGCTCGTTCTGACTTTCTGTAATCTGCATGGTTGAATGAGGGATCGGTTCTGGTAGAGAAGGAACTACGTCCTGTGCGGGTCGATGCTTAATTGAAATATGCATGTCTATGAGTATGTCTACCAACGTCAGCTTCAACTCTTGATTAAAAGTCAGTGGCCAGCCATGATGTTCTAAAAACGTGTATTCCAGTTTTATGTGTCTGTTGAGGTCATAAAGCTGAAACGTGAAAAAAAAAACAACTATAAATATTTGCCGAAAACACGCATCATCTTTTTTTTTCCTTCTTAAAATGGAGCTTCGATATGAGCCCTCGAATAAGCTTAATTAAGATAGAATATTCAGTCTTAATTCAAAAAATGATTTGAACTTAGAAATATATCCATCAGAGAAATATGATCAAGTTATATGAAAGGAACTCTATTCAAATATTTGAAAAGAAACAATCTCTACACTCTATTTTCAGGCACACTTTGTGTTACTGAAATATCTAATAAATATGATATTCTCATAAAGTGAACTTATCAAGATTTACAGGACTATCTTGGGGGGGGATGAAATATCTAATAAATATGATGTTCTCATAAAGTGAACTTATCAAGATTTACAGGACTATCTTGGGGGGGGGGGAGATAGGATTAAGGCTTTTAATTTGCTCTGTAAACAACTGTATGAGAGTACAAAAATTTAAGATTGGGAAAAAAACAGAGTAGACTCCAATGAAGACGGTATTACTTTTTTAAAAAGGGGTGATTGACTTATGGAATGAGTTGCACTTTCCAGGAGTTTATGAAGGTAATCGACGACTTCCTAAAAATAAAGATGGGTTTAAATATGTAATTATTTCCTAGGGTGGTTGTGAATAGTCCATTGTTGTTACCTTATCACCATCAAGTTAATGCAGGGAGCCACTTATCTTGACCTCGTCTCTACTCAATGAACAAAAGACTATATTTAGAGTTTAAATTCTTAAAACTAAATTATTTTAGTAATCTTTCTCCGACGAATTCTCCAGTAAAATAAACCGAAAGTAAGATGCATAACTTAGTCGATATTATTTTACATGAATTTATGTATATTTTCGAAGAACCCTAATTTATTTTCGCTTTTTTTTTCTTTATCACAACTTAAAAGTCATTATGAAGAGGGAGTTTCAAAGAATTTCCAGTAATCCAAATATAATCGCAACTCAAAACTTCTGTAATCACTAAAGAAAACTTACTTGCCCATCAATAGTTTCTCTCACTTTTTTGACATTCCAATTAAGATCTGCGAAAATGAAGCCGAGACACTCTCCGCTAGGTACTAAAATGATGCCAACCCGGTTCTTTTCTGTGAGAGGTAACAAACAAAGCTTTCTTTACATCAAAAAAAACTGTAGTTACGAGTTAATCTGAAGAAAACTATACGTTTTTAAACCTTTTTTTTATCAAACTCAACTTTAATTGTTACTTCTTCGAAGGTCTCCAACTAACAAACTAGTTCTTTGATACTGTTACCTAACTTCAGCTGAGGCTAGTTCCATATATTGGCATAAGTATGCCCCTGATGCCCCAGCAATTGTGGGGGGCTGGAACCAAAAGAGGGCTCCAGTCCCGACCATAATTACAATTATAGGGAAATAAATGTAGGTGGTCCAACTACTTTTTTTTTATTCAGGGGAGGAGTCCGTTTTTTTGTAGTTACACCATCGAACGGATATACTGTACTTAAGACTCTTTTCTTACATATAGTTAGTGAGAAAACTTACAAAGGTTTTAATGCTATTAGTTGTAAGAAAATTGTGACACACTCTACTAAAACAACAGTTACTTGTTACTAAGTTTCATGCTACAAAGGTTTTAATGCTATTAGTTGTAAGAAAATTGTGACACACTCTACTAAAACAACAGTTACTTGTTACTAAGTTTCATGCTACAAAGGTTTTAATGCTATTAGTTGTAAGAAAATTGTGACACACTCTACTAAAACAACAGTTACTTGTTACTAAGTTTCATGCAGGGTTAAAACCTTACCGAAATGTCGTCGTATGCAGATTGTCTTTTTATCAGTAATCAGGTGATTTGTTGTAATCATTCGTTCCTGCTCTTTTCGAATTGGGTATCTACACATCAAGAAAGAAAAGACAAATGTATAATCTGTGTTTACATTAACACAAACATAAGGACAATAATGTATAATCTGTGTTTACATTAACATAAACATAACATAAGGACAATAATGTATAATCTGTGTTTACATTAACATAAACATAACATAAGGACAATAATATATAATCTGTGTTTACATTAACATAAACATAACATAAGGACAATAATGTATAATCTGTGTTTACATTAACATAAACATAACATAAGAACAATAATGTATAATAT